GAAGCAGATAGGAGATTATTGCAAAGACCTAAAGGAAATGTGTACAGCAGTCACAAGATGGGAAAAGCCTGTGAGGGCCAGTACAGGCCAGAAAAACAACAAGGAAATGAGTCCAAGGAGAAAGCTGGTAAATCCACCAGTTGTGGGACAATGCAAAAGGAATTCAAGGAATCCACAGTGCAGCAGAGAATTCTCCTGGGAGAGACAGACAACCCAAGCACTACATGTGGGGAAAACATCAGGAGCCACACAGACCTTACTCACCATGACACAATCCTTACAAAAGAGAAACCCCATAGATGCAGTGAGTGCGGGAAAACCTTCACTCGGCGCGCCCATCTTATTGGACATCAGAGACTCCACACTGGAGAGAGGCCCTATGAATGCAGCGAGTGTGGAAAAGCCTTCTTTCGGAGGCCACAGCTTATTACACATATGAGACACCACTCCGGAGATAGACCCTTTGAATGCAGCGAGTGCAAGAAAAGATTCACTCGGCGCTCACACCTTATTAGGCATCAGAGAATCCATACTGGAGAGCGACCCTACGAATGCCGTGAGTGTGGAAAAAAGTTTGTTGACAGCTCATCCCTTGTTAATCATCAGAGAATTCACACAGGGGAGAGACCCTATGAATGCTCTGAATGTGGGAAAACCTTCAGTGACAGCTCAGTTTATAGTAAACATCAGTGGATCCACAAAGCAAAGAGACCCTATGAGTGCTGTGAGTGCCGGAAACGCTTCACTCGGCGGGCTGATTTCATTAGACATCAGAGGATCCACACTGGGGAGATACCCTGTAAATGCTCCTTGTGTGGGAAAAGCTTCACTCAGAGTTTACGCCTCATTTACCATCAGAGAATCTGCAAGGGAGATGAACAACAAACTTCTTGTATAAGCGTAACAAATGATTTTTTTCCTGTCGGTATTTTGCTGATTCCCACATAGTTACCTGTAAAGCTGTTTCCACCATTTCTTTGCTGTGTTTCCTCAGCTTACTCATGTGACTTGCCAGCCTTTGCAAATTACCATTCTTTGAGGTCTTTCCCATGATCCTTTTCTCAACTCCTTTGTCCTTTGAATCTTGTGAATATGTGTCCTGCCTGTCAGAAATTTCCATCAGCCCCACATGGGGAAGATAGCACTGAACTCAACTAACAACATCAAGGTAAACACTAACTGGACTTTGTCTCCCCAAGATTGTTCATGGAGTTTGCTATTCTGATTTAAATACACAGCTAAAGACAGGGTCTGTGCATTGTGGGCAGACTCATCTTGTGGATTTTCTCAATTATTTTTGTATAATTTTTCTCTTTGAAAATATGTGTAAATATAACCGGGGGGTGGTGGAATTTTCATCTTAATGTCTGTGACACTTGAGGGAAGTGGGGTGAGTTAGAAGGATTCCTTTCTTACCCATCATGCCCAGCGGTGTTACTTTTTCCTCAGAGATGGTCAAAAGTTATCTTATGAGCCACATGTGGCTTTTTGAGTTGAAGTGTGGTATCTGGAGCTTCCCATCCACACCCTCCCCCCCCATTCTCAGCCTAGAAGATTGGGAGGGGGTAGAGCTTGAGGTTTTTGTACTGCAGGGGGGCCCAGGGCAGATGTCGGTAATAATCGGTTTTTTGGAGAAGGGGGGCGCTGAACAATTTTGGTAAATAGTCATGGTGTCACACGTTTCTGTGGAGCTAGTATATAGTCTGGGGTGGAAGTTGGGTGCAGAAGAGAGCTTGGGATAGGCAATTGGGGTTCAGGAAGGGGGTGTGAGGTCTGAGGGGGAGCTTTGATGAAAGAAGAGGTTGTGACCTGGGGCCAGGGATTGGATTCCAGTGTTTGCAGTGGGGGGTGGGATGGATACAGGAGAGGATTCTGGCCTGGGGGAGGGGTGCAGAGGGTTTGGGTTATGACCAGGTTGAGGACTGAGTTGCAGAAGGGTATGCAGGGAAGGTATAAGACTTAAGGGACAATTCTGGCCTGGGGGCGGGGCATAGGAAGGGTGCAGGGTTTTCTGGGGAGTAGTGACCCGGGACATGGGGAGAAGGATTGGGTGGTGACCTGGGTCAGGGAGTTGGAGTGTAGGGAGGGTGAGGAACCAGGTGCAGGCTTTGGCTGGGAGGTGCTTACCTTGGTGCCTCCCAGCCAGTAACCCACCAGGATCTTCGGGCAGGCTCCTTTTTCCCATGGCCACATCTCTCCCCATAGCTGCAGCTCCCATGGGGAAAAAAAGTCACCTCTATCTTCTGCAAAGTGAGGAGACGGCGGTTCTATATTTCTATGATCCTGTCTCTCAAAGTTCTGACGATTATCGTCTGTGGCTCAGAAGGTCAGGGAGTCAGTAGATTTGGCCACCCCACCATAAAGTGTTTATCTCCTTCACTTCACAAAGTGTCCCATTATACAGTATTCTCAGATCTTTGTGCTTAGTAATTATACTTTGATTTTGTTTTCAAAACTACTTCTTGACTTCTCTCTTCTGACTTGAGTTTGCTTGAAGACGGGAAAGTTGGACTGTTTTTTTCCCCCCCATTATAACCATGCTAAAACTTTCATAAATACCACAACTCACTATTTGAGACAACACTGAGTGATGCAGTTCGGAATGTAGGAGAGATTAACACGTTAGGAGACTCTTTTGTCCTGATTCTTAGTTAGCAGCTGTCACCTGCTTTGGAATTTTATATATTATGAAATTGAAAGTGTCTTCTGCCACTTTGAAACGTGGGTTTTTTCTCTCTTTCCTGAAGGCTGTTCGATCACACAGCTGGTCCTATTAGTTTTGTTTGAGTGAATATAGCTCAGATTTACCGGGGACTTTGAGACAAATGACCATTTGCTAAAATAATCATTTCTTACTATATTTTTGCTTTTTCTCCAACTTTTGATGATGACAGTTCAGTCAACAAGAGTGAATGCTCTAAGTTATTTGACCTGCTAACTAAGAAACAATTGTGGTTTTAGATTTTTCTCCTGAAATGATGAACTATACCATATGACCTACACTGTGCAAGTAACTGAAGTACCTGGATGTCATCACAGTGCTTTTCAGTTGATTTAGGTCACTCTTGACTCAGAGGATCCATAAAGAGAATTCCACTGTAAGTGACTTGCCACCAAGCAAGCTCCTCATGTGTTTAGCTCTGTTGCGAGGCAAAGTTGGCCGCTCACAGACCCGGAGGGGAAGGAACCCCTCCCTCAGCCCTGGTGGGCAGGACACAAAATATAAAAAGCAGGCTCGGGAGCTCAGTTGGAGCCCAGCTGCTAGAGGAACTCCTGAAGTGAGGGGTTGCTACGGAACTCAAGGAAGCAGAGAACTGGCCATGACCATTGCTTGACCCTGACCCAGAGGAACTACAAGCCCTGACAGGGGTACCATTCACCAATTACTTGGAGGACCTGTTACCAAGCTAGGTATGCACAGAGGGGGAATGAGCCTGGTCAGGTTGAAACTGTGCTGGTGAATGACTCAGCGTGTTGTGGTAAGGATCCTTGCCGACCCAGTGGCAGGCCAGTCTGCCACTGTCAGGGCCCTGGGCTAGAATGCAGTGGAGCAGGTGGGCCTGTATCCACCCTGCCACCCCATTCGGTGGGTGACAGTCTTCTCCCTCCTCCCCTTTTCTGGGCAAAATGCCTGCAATTGTTGGCTGTCCGCCAGAGCTAGGAGTTCCGACTGCTTTGCTCCCCTGCTCTGACCCCTGACCTGGGCTCACTGTCTGTGTTTGTGAGGTGGACCCTAGCCAGAGGGCCATACTTGTGACACCAGTTCCCCCAATGATTCCCCGTGTTCAGGACCCAAGTTGTAGTGAGGTGAAGCGGCCACCCTCAGACCCAGAGGAGGTGGAGTCATGCCCCACCCATACTACTAGTTCCCAAAACAGTTGTGACCCAGGTCTTAGAGGATGTCACTCCTGAAGGTGTCTTCTGGCTAATCACAGTATGATGTCTTCTGGCTAATTAACAGTGTGATGCTGTTGCAAAAAAAGCAAATATGATTCTAGGTTGTATCAACAGGTGTGTTGTAAGCAAAACTCGTGAAGTCATTCTGCCGCTCTACTCTGCACTAGTTAGGCCTCAGTTGGAGTACTGTGTCCAGTTCTGGGCGCCACATTTCAAGAAAGATGTGGAGAAATTGGAAAGGGTACAGAGAAGAGCGACAAGAATGATTAAAGGTCTAGAGAACATGACCTATGAAGCCAGGCTTCATGAACTGGGCTTGTTTAGTTTGGAAAAAAGAAGATTAAGGGGGGACATGATAGCGGTTTTCAAATATCTAAAAGGGTGTCACAAGGAGGAAGGAGAAAATTTGTTCCTCTTGGTTTCTGAGGACAGGACAAGGAGTAATGGGCTTAAAGTGCAGCAGGGGAGGTTTAGATTGGACATTAGGAAAAAATTCCTAACTGTCAGGGTGGTCAAATATTGGAATAAATTGCCAAGGAAGGTGGTGGAATCTCCCTCTCTGGAGATATTTAAGAACAGGTTAGATAGACATCTGTCAGGGATGGTGTAGACGGAGCGTGGTCCTGCCTTGAGGGCGGGGGGCTGGACTCGATGACCTCTCGAGGTCCCTTCCAGTCCTATTATTCTATGATTCTATGATTCTAATCCTGGTTTGGAAAATGCTGCCCCAAATTATGCAGCTGTGGATGAGCCCAGACATATGCTTTTGCAGAGCTTACATTTTGTAGATGGTGCAAATGCCAATAACATTCATTTAGTACTGAATGTGAGAGCTGTCAAAAATTAAATTGTTTTTGAATATGAAAGCCCCACCTTGGGTAACTGACAGAGATTCTCTTCTAGGCTATTATCTGGCTCCTAACTTAGGTTTGCTGCACCAGATTAAAGAAAAAAACTGGGAATGTTTGTTATAGCCATTCTGTGTTAATGCTGCTTAGATTTTTCTGTGGCTTGATAAAGGATTCTGTCCCAGAGAAGAGCAAATTCTGCCCTAGCAGCCCTGGCACTGACCTGGCCCAGCTCGGCCCTCTCATGTGTGGACCAAGGACAAGGATTTGACAAGAACTTGGGTAGAAATAGCAGCCCCAGAGTTGTTGTTTTTCACCCCAGAGAAGGAAGCGGTTGTGTGAACAGTGGCTAGATCAAATTATGTTTAGAATAGCTCTTGAGGAGAGGTGAATACTTAATTTGGGGTGCTATTGTCTAAAATCTCAGAAAGTGTTTGTTCTGCCTTGTTCATATTCTTACTAATGTCATTTGAATGCAAATTTTTCCTTTCTAGCATCTGCTTTAGCTGCAGATTTAATGCTGGTATATATGCATGAAATCTTCAAGTACATTGCTTAAATAAATCTTGATCATCTGGTTTGCTAAGGATAACACTTTCAAAAACTTCAGAGGGGTAGCTGAGTTAGTCTGTAACTAGAAAAACTTAAACTACAAATAGTCTAGCAGCCCTTTAGAGACTAACAAAACATGTAGATGATACCGTGAGCTTTCGTGGGCACAACCCACTTCTTCAGATGAAAGAAGTGGACTGCACCCACGAAAGCTCATGATACTATCTACGTCTCATTTTCAAAAACTATAACTTGCATTATTTTTAGAAGTATTTACTCCAGGTTTTGTGGATTTCCACTTGGAAGTCCCTCTATAAAATATATTTTAGTATACCATGTAATAGTAGATTATACAGACTTGATATATGATTTTGTACCTTATGTATTTTCAAAGTCATAGTTTTAGTCCATGCTGCAAACAGTGTATTAGATAATGTTTTGGCCATAAGTCGCCTGTGGGTGGTTAATACATCTTTTTTTTAATGAAAGTCAGTTGATTGGTGTGATGTAATCACCTAGAATCCTTGATCTTGTTTCATTCATTCTCTCACCCAAGTAACTGTTGTTATTGTCACCACTGATGCTTTATGAAAATTGGCTTACGAAGATGCTATAGACAAAATGCATCATGAGACACAATTTCATTTTTTGTATGTGAAGTTAGAAACATGAAGTGTGAATTTGTTTCTAATTCTAAATATGTTAATGAGGGCCATTAGTGATACTCCAGAAACATAATGGCTCGGTAATCAAACCAATGATCTGTGTATGGCTTTGTTTTTCCAGTAAGCCCAAACTGTGGTTGGTCTTGCCAGGACATGTAGCCAGGCCCCCTGGTGCTGAAATCCATTTGGGATCTTGTAGTTTTCCACTCAAAGTGAGAAAAGTTTTGAACTGAACACAAAAAATTCCTGCCTTGGGCAAAAAAAATATAAAGGTGAGAAAACAAACAATAAGGGAGTTGCCAGATGCCACTTATTACCCAGGATGCTTGCTGGTAACATCTAAGGCTGAACAAAGGGGAAGCATTGGGCCCACGCTAGGAGGCTGCCTATTTTTTTTCAGAAGCTAATTAGAACTACTGTTAGGTTAAGAATTTGCATGTAACAAGTTTCTTAGAATATTGGGCTTAATTGGTTTGTTTTTGTTTAATTTGGCTTAATAACTTAGTATGATCTATCTGTTTTCACTTGCAATTACATAAATCCTCCTTTTTATGCTTAATAAAAACACTTTTGTTTATTATCAAGCCCAGCGTAAATAATTGTTACCTGTGGGGGAACAACCACTTTGCATCTCTTTCATTGATAAAGGGTGTGAACTTATGAGCTTTCTCAGTGTAACAGAGGGATTTATTTTGGGGTTTTGGTCTCTTTTGAAGGCTGTTCCTGAATGCTCTAAGACCCTCTGAGTTGGTTCAGTATCTGTGTTACTCTGCAGGGAGGCTGTTCCCCAACTCTGTGCCTTGGCTGGGGGAAACCAGCACATCTGGTCCAGCAGGACAAAGTGGTGGGATGCTCCAGAGGGCAGGTAAATGGGGTCAGTGGCATGACGAGCACAACAAGTGACAGCTCCAAGAGGCCTCTGTGATTGAACCCATCATTATTGCATTATTAGCCTCAATGGGCAAGTCTGAGTCTACTCCCCACATAACATCCTGATCAGCCTTGATTATTCTTATTTTCTGTCTGCTGCTGCTGTTCCATATGAACAGATGCAGTATTAAGGTAATAATACAGTGTTAAGACATGCACTTGTCCCCCACCTTCTGCCACTGGACTGTCTGCATCTAGTTTTTCACCTCCTCTTTTGTGATCCAAATTACCAGTTCCTCCCTCAGTGCAGAAATATTCCTTTTCCAGTACAATTGTAATTGACTGACAAGGTAGAACAATCTACTTTTCTTTTTCTCTAGAGGAACTGAGCTTGTGGGAGGGCCGTAACTTAAGTGTGGTTGCATATACCAGAGATATCCCAGAAAAACTCCACCGTATCCAAGGAATGCCTTTGCTCTTCCGCTTTTTTTTGCAGAAAAGCAAATGCACTCTTTCGGGGAGCCCTATATCCCTTGTTCCACCAGGGATAAGGACTCCACTGAAAGAGGAGGCTTTTCTGCCATTTGGTTCTATCTAGACAGGGCCAAATGGTGAAAAAGCCTCTTCCAGAAAAGCGATTGGAAAAAGCTATGCAAATTGCGGAGCGAAATTTGTGTAGCATTTTCCAACAAAGGACTGCAGTATAGACCTAGCCTAATACACTGAGGAATCCTGTGGCATCTTAAAGACTAACTGATTTATTTGGGCATAGGTTTCATGGGCAAAACCCCACTTTGTTAGATGTATGTGATTAAGTGGGATTTTGCCCACAAAAGCTTATGCCCACATAAGTCTGCTTGTCTTTAAAGTACCACAGGACTCCTTGATGTTTTTTCAAGAAGAGTAAAGGAATCTTTTTCTCTTGAAGGCTTCATGTCAAGTCTGGAGACCTTTCTGGAAGATAACTTAGTCAAACACAAGGGCTATGTTAACACTGGCGGCTTCTTGCACAAGAATATCTTGTGCAAGAAGTCTTGCGCAAGAAAACGTCCGCACTGCCATGTGCGAGCTGTGCTTTTGTGCAAGAGCATCCATGGCAGCGTGGACGCTCTCTTGCGCAAGAAAGCTCCGATGGCTATTTTAGCCATAGGGCTTTCTTGCGCAAGAAACCCCTGCCGAGCGTCCACACTGCCCTCTTGCGCAAGAGCCTCTGTGCAAGAGGGCATACACCTGTTAAAAAAGAGCGTAGCTCTTGCGCAAGAAGCTCTCTGTTACCACGCCGTACTGTAAATCTTCTTGCGCAAGAGCGGGTAGACAGTGTGGACGCTCTGCGGATTCTTGTGCAAGAACAGTTGTTCTTGCGCAAGAACCCACCAGTGTAGACATAGCCAAGGTGTTCGAAACATAAATTGTTTTGAAGTCCAAACAATGGACTTCAAAAATAGACTTTGAAAAACTCTTTGATCAGAAGAAAAGGGTCCACTGGAAGAAAATATAAGGAGAAAAAGAGTGCAGGAGAGCTGGTAATTTATCAAAGGCTTTGTCTACACTGCCAGCTTTTGCCAGCAGAGTATACAAATGAAGTACTGATTAGCATTTTTACATGCTTCTTTTGCATATCTATTCAAGCCGTTTTTGTGCAAGGGGTATTTGTGCAAAAACAAGCACTGTGGACATTTCCTTTTTGCGCATGATCCTTATGCCTCTCCCAGAATACCCACGGGTTGCGCATGACTGATTTAGAGGAAGGAGAGCACAGCAAATATACCAATTTACCACCACCACTCCGGTACAGTATGTGTGCCTTGTACATGCACATTCCTGACCCCTACATATGGATGATAAAGTTCTGAAAGTATGAAATTTAGGAATATAAGACACAAACTGGAAGGAAGATGCTTGGCTGCAGAGCTCTGGCTCCTGCTATCATAAGTAATTCCTCCATACAAGTTCCCTTAGAAATGTGTGCATCTCTCTCTTAAAGCAACCCTCTTTGTTTGTCCATTGAGGTGAGGGAACACTCGTCCTGGGGCATCTGGGGAAAAGAAAAGGGTCCTGCTAATTTTCTTTTTAGCACCTAGGAGATACCATTCTCCTAAAAAGGGAGCAGCCTCTAGCTTTCATATTTATTAAATATGAGGCCAGACACGTTCATCAGTAAACATTTAAACTGAAACAGAGGGGGAAAGAAATATTTCTCAAACAAGGGAATTTTAAAAGGAGAAGCTACTACAATTGAAAAATGGAGAACTCTTCCAGATCTGAGAGGACTTTTAATTAATGTTTCTTTAGTACATAGGAAAAAGCAAAACGTGAGATTTGGTATCAATGTACAGTAATGAGAGAAGGGTGGAAATCTGAGGAATTTGGGATCAGTTGTCACAAATTTAAGAGAAAAATGGAGAAATTGGAGGGATTTTCAATCAATAATTGATCATACGTAAAGAGGTAAAAATCTGAGAGAATTTCTTATTTATTGAGAGAAAAGAGCAACATCTGAAAGGTGAAACAACATCTCCAGTATGTACGAAGTTGGGAAAAAATGGAGGAGATTTTAATACTAACATTTCGTAATAAGAGGCAAAGAAAAATCTCAGGACCTATCAAACTAATAACAGATAACAGGAGAGAAGAGGGTGCAACGAAATTGTGGAGAGGATCGCTGTGACACCATGCTATGTCAATGCGAATTGGCTGAGGGCCCGCCATACAAAAAAACAGTCACATTGGGTCAGAGCAAAAATCCATCTATCCCAGGATCCCGTCTTCTGACACTGGTCAATGCCAGGTGCCCCAAAGGAAACGAACAGAACAGGGAATCAACAAGTGATCCATCCCCTGTAGCCCATTCCTACCTTCTGGCAATGAGAGGCTTAGTCTAGACATTAACAACTCACATCAGAGTAGAGATGTGAATGGTTAACCGATAAGCCTTGCCTTAATGGGCAATGCTTACCAGTTATGGTTAACCAGTGGGGGCTCAAGCAGCTCCCCACCTGCCACGGGCAGGGGGCTGCAGCAGCCCTGTGGACCAGTCACAAGTAAGGGTGCACAAGTCTGCAGCCAGGGGAGGGCACTCCAGCTGGGCAGCAGAGGATGGGGGCCATTCCATCTCCCCTTTAATTGGTTAACTATTACATTGAACCGGTTAACTCAGGGGTTGGCAACCTTTTCAAACAAAAGAGCCAAAGCATATCAAAATTCAGAACAATTGGTCAACAAAAAACCAGTATAAGAATGCCCATTTGCATGACTGGTAATATACAACTTAATATTATTGATAATTAACATGATTGATTAATATAATAAATTAAACATTGTACTTGCAGACTTTATTTAATGGGACTTCTGCTGCTGCTGGGGATGCAGTTTGTGGATGTGGGTGTGCAGTAGTCAGGGTTAGGCTACATGAGGGGCTCAGGGCAGAGGGTGGGGTTGGGGGAGGTGCAGGAGGATGGGAAGTGGAGTATGTGTGGGTGGAGGGCCTTGGGTCCAGATTACCTTGCGGGGCCAGGGCTTGGCTGCTGCACCTGGGCAGCAGTGGCTGGATGAGGGACTGGTCCAGGGTCACTGCAGCCAGATGGTAGTCTCTCCTCCTACCTGTGCAGCAGCAGGAGGGGGACTGTAGCCAGCCCTGGCTGTGGCCAGAGTGGGGCCAAAACAGTGGGGCCTGCCCCAGGATCAGGGCCGGGGACAGGATGCTGCAGACAGAGGGGGGCTAGGCCCTGATTGAGGCTTTGTTGGCCATGCTGCCATGGTGGCTGGGGAGAGACTGCAGCCATCAGATGGGGGCCATAGCTGGGCTGCCACGGCCAGATGAAGATTTCTGCTGCCGCCAGCCCCTCTCACTACCCCGGCTCAGAGTGCACTTATGTTCTTATGTTCTCAAAATTTTGAATTAATTTTTCCTTTTAATTGAAAAAGTTGTGTGGATGTTGGGAATGACAAAAGAGCCATATGCTCTGACCCAATGTGACTGATCTTTTGTAGGGCGGGCCCTCAGCCAATTCACATTGACATATTTGGCTAGAGAACCATAGGTTGCTGGCCCCTGGGCTAACTGATGAAACAGATTTTACATCCTTACCTCAGACCTGACAAACTCAGCACTTCGAACACACTGTTGTCATTATCTGTCAACAACCAAAATTGGTCCGGTAACAGACAGAGGTTCACCCCACCTTGCTTCTCGGGGGACTTTCTAGCAATTCTTGAAAAGTGGAGAGGAAAGGGGTCAAACCCTAAAGATTTGATCATACATGATAAAAACACCAAGGCCGCGTCTAGACTGGCAAGTTTTTCCGCAAAAGCAGCTGCTTTTGTGGGAAAACTTGCCAGCTGTCTACACTGGCCGCTTGAATTTCCGCAAGAACATTGACAATCTCATGTAAGATTGTCAGTGTTCTTGCGGAAATGCTATGCTGCTCCCGTTCAGACAAAAGCCCTCTTGCGCAAAATGTTTTTGCACAAGAGGGCCAGTGTAAACAGCTAAAAACTGTTTTGCGCAAAAAAGCCCTGATAGCGAAAATGGCAATCGGGGCTTCCTTGCGCAAAAGCGCGTCTAGATTGGCACGGACGCTTTTCCGCAAAAAGTGCTTGGCACAGACCCTTTTCTGCAAAATCTAGATGCTCTTTTCCGCAAATGCTTTTAACCGAAAAACTTTTCTGTTAAAAGCATTTGCGGAAAATCATGCTGGTCTAGACATAGCCTAAGACCTGAGGGGACAGCTCAAAAGGACTGTGTCTGAGGGAGGCAGAGGGGCCAGCATATCCCTGCGGGAGCAGCGATGGGGGCGGTGGGACCCAGGCGTCCGGCCCGGCCGTCGCTGCTGCCCGGCTGGGGCTTTGCAGCCCCCAGGAAGGGGCTGGGGGGGGGCA